TACACATGGAACAAAATTACGCAATTCATACACGCGTGGTACGGCAATTCAACACAACGAACAGCCGCCTACGAAAATATGTTCCGTTACAGCACCAATCGACACTCAATCACAGATCCCCAACCTACACCACCCCTCCACTCATCACACTCACCTCACGGGTGACACGTGTGATCATTCACAATCGGCTACAGGGGCAGCCACAGGTGTAGGGACAAAGGCAACAGTGACACGGGTGCTCACCTTCACAGGTGACAGGGGCGCGAGCACACATAACTCGTACAACCCCGCGGTAGGTCAGTCTGCGCGCATAATACAAAAGGCGAACACAGAGACAACCTATAGCGACAGTATGGTAATGGCGGTTAACACCGCTCACCAGACAGTAGCTTTCATGGTTAGGAACCAGTTGTCCCGCACGACCGATTGCAATACTGCTAAAACGGCACACAGCCAGACAAAATTCCGACTTCCGCGGTTAGGTTAGCCACTTTTTGTATCAGTTACGTGTACTTTATTTATACGTAATAAACACATTATTGTTCTTAAGAGTTGTAAATTTCATATAAATAACACCCTGAGTCTGGATCTGATATTGGCACGCAACGCCACTGATATTAGTCAACTGAATAGTAATCGAGGACGTGGTTTTTACCGCCAGATGAGCGCTAAATTTAAATCTGAATCAAACGTGACCCCGAGGTACTTGGCCAAAGGAGTCATTTTAATCTTAATCCCATCAAGTCGCAAGTCTAGAGGCTTACTAAGTAAGCCCATTAAACATAAGGTTAAACATCAAGTTTAAACGGTTATTAAGTTAATTATGTAAATTAACCATGTATATTAAAATATTTTTTTTTAATAATATCATAAGAAACAAAAAAAAATCAGACTTCATTCTATGGAATTAATTTGAAAATAAAATGTTATACTTATATGATTTAAAAAAATGATTACAGTATAATGTTTAATCATTAATTAGTTATAGTAATAATAATTATGATTTATCATTAATTATTTTTCATCATCGTCATCATCCGTGTTATTCGAGAAATCTGGAGAATCAATATTATTCTGTAACATAATGTCAAATACATATTAAAATCAAAAATCTTTTATTAATAATATTCTTTACATTAATATTATTTATAATTCATTCTTAAGTTAATAATTAATAAAGAATGAAATTCCTATTTTGTTTTAATAAATAATGACAATAAAAACACGAAAACTACGAAAAATTATAATTACTAAATGAATTTGTAATGTGAAAAGCTTTAGTCATTCTGCTGTTAAAATATAGCAAGTGTCAAACATTGAAGTGTATTTCGCCATTGAGTAGGTGATGGTATTAAAAGAAATGTGTTATTTAAATTCAATAATAAATCTTTGTAAGCGAAAAATGTTTTTAAATTAATGTTATTACAATATAGTTCTTCACAAATATTAAGTTATATTTTCTTATACGTATATTTAATAAATTATTAGTAAAATGGTAAGTTGAAAAAAATTTTGTTAAACTAACTGATCTTTCGAGGCGTGTTGTTGCTTGTAACAAATTAAAAGCTTATGGATTAAATTCCATTAAATGTTAAGAGTACATTTTTACAAAGCTGGGCAGTTAATAGTTAAAAAAATAAATGAATATTAGAAAAGAATTTAGTTATTAAATAAGTCATTTTTTTATAAATAATTGTAACTAACTTAGTTATATTTTTAATATTAAAGTTATTTACAATTTTTTTTTGTATTATAGATTATTGATTCATTGCATTGATTTTTCATTACATACTTTTACATCATGAATGTTTAAGAAAAGTATTTATTAAGTATAATACTACTGTCCCTTCAAGCGCTCACGTAGAGTGCTTATGGCCAGATACTAAGTTAAAGAAGAGGACCTACAGCTGATTATAATTTTGAAAAAACTTATTATTAAAATTTAATAAGCATTTTTTGTAATAATGTCCAGTAATTTAAAATTAAATTGTTATTGACGTGTTTCCTCATAATAAATAAGAGTTAGACTTTTTAATACCGTCATTATAGTTGTTACATAAAATAGATAAAATCAGAATGATCACCTCAGTCGCCGAAAATGGTCCATCATATTGAATGCAAGTACCAGGTTGGCCACAAATCCAATATTGATGTTTTTTAATTTTATAATCTTTATACGATACTTTCGTCACGATGTTTACATTTCAAATTGAATTGCACCCATCCCAACTATTCAACTTGACACTTATTAATTACTTGTTACCATCGTGTGAAAATCACATTTTTAAGTTATTAATTTTGTTGTTTTGAGAATTGTTTAATTACACTGTAGTAGTGTTTATTTTTAAGATTTTAGTTTTTTGCAATGGAGTTGATTGTTAATAAACAGTCCAAAGTGTATTTAAAATGTTGCTTGACCAATTATTGTAAAAACTACATTTCGAACAAGGATTCGATACATTTTTTTTTTGTTTTCTCAAAAGAAACTGCTAGGTAAGTAATATTTTTTTAAATATGTATTTACATTTTATATTTGTTCTCGTTTTGAATAAGAAAATGTATTACTTGTTAATTAGTTCTATAGTTAGGCTCACAAAAAATGAACGCTGACTACAGCGATCCCAAACGGTCGTTTTATATTAGTGATAACCAAAACAATTTAGTGCGATTTTTTAAATATTTGATATACGTATTTTATTATAACACTATTCAACATACATATTACAATTTGTTATATTTTTACAAATGTTATGATTAATAAAAATAAATTAAAGTTACTATTTTAAATATATATCTTACAAAATTATATCTTATATTAAACATAATTTAATTGTACTAAAAAAAAAAAAAATGTAATAACAATTTATAAACGTAAAATAAAATTAAGTTTATACATTTTACAGGTAAAATTAATTTTCATCATCATCATCCACATCAGTACTGCTTTCACTTGGTTGAATTGTTAAAATAATGGGCTCTAGAATAATTTCTCTAGAAATGAGTTCACGAAAAATGAATAATGCTATACAAAATGTAAGGTTAACAGCAGCTATAGACAACTGCTAACATAAAAGGTCAATTCATTGAATACGGTCCTGCCGAAGTATTTGAAATATGCCATAAGACGTACAGCATGCCGTCGCGCCAGCCGGTAATACAGAATAATACTAGAAAATCTAAGAACCTCTGGCCTCGACAATGTTTAAGCTCCACCTATCGGTCGCTAGTGCTCACTTTTCATGGGGAGTTACCCATTTCCGCCAAAAAACATTTCAGGGAAAAAAGTTTGGAAACCAATGGTCTTAATTTTTAAGCAATATATATGTTGTGGTATATATAAAATAAAATAGTAATGTAAAATGTAGGTAATAGCAATAACATTTGTAAATAATTACGAAATTTCGAATAGGTACAACAAGATATACAGCGATAATCTTCGATAATTGTTGATAATCGTCGATAACGGAAAAAAGTATACACTGTGTCATAATTTATTTATAATTCGCACACAATAATTATCTGACAAATGTTAAATTCTTATATTTCGATTCAGTATCTGTTCTGTTCGTTATCAGTTTAACAACAGTTAATACGGTTTTTAAAATGGAATTTGTTGTAAACAAAAGAGGTAAAACGATGTTAATATTTGATGGTTTTAAATATGTTTATGGTTATACGTCAAAAACAAATGTAACTCGGTGGAGATGTTTCATGAAAAATTGTCCGACCATTATTTTGGAAAAAGAAAAAGTAATACTTGAAACGAAAAGTACGTTTTCTATCTACGAGTAAAATAAAAATATTCATTTAATTATTTATGAAAAATGAAATCGATTACAGTAGAAACCGTTTATAATGACGTTCAAAGGACCAAAAAAAAATAGGTCATAATAACCGGTTGTCATTACAACCAAAATGACGTAAAAAAATTTGAACTTCAAAACATACGAGTATTATTATTATCATTATTTATGGAATATTGGAATGTACATATAATATGGAAAAAGAGTAAAGATAAAAACATTTAATTATGTACATATTTAAATTAATTAATTCAATTATTATTTAAAAAAATCTGTTATTTTAGATTAAATTTTGTTTGTATAAAAATCACACCGGTGTCATTATAAACGGTTTCTACTGTAATTATTTATTATATATGATTATCTTTATGCTTTATTATAGGTGATCATAGAGACAATTGTTCAGTCAAAAATATAGATCGTCAAAAATTAGGAACGACATATAAGTGGAAAGCTGTCGAAGATTTTTGTCAAAGACCTAGAAAAATAATACTAGGTGAGATTCAACTATTAAACTTATACAAGTATACAACATATTTAGTCCAGATTATTATTTTAATTGTTTTTCAAAATGTATGTAACAGATTGTGGAAATATAAATTAAGTAATAAAAAAAAATAAACTATTTTTCAGGAGAAATTAATGCTTTTGGAGTTGCCCCAACAATGACAACAAATGATATCTCTATACTACGAAAATGTGTGTACCATGTTCGTCGTCAGTTTTTACCGACGAATCCAACATGTATAGCTGATATTTACAGTGCTGTAAGTTCAGTTAATACTTTGACGACTAATGATGAAGAATTTTTGCTGGTGAATGATGATATTTCTAATATAATAATATTTTCCTGCAATACCAATCTAAAAATGTTATGTAAATCCGAAATAATTTATGTGGACGGCACATTTTCATATTGTCCTTCATTATTTACCCAATTATTTACAATACATGGGTTAGTTAATACGTTTTATATACCTTTAGTTTTTTGTCTACTAAAAGATAAAAAAATTGAATCATATAAGGAAGCATTATTTCAAGTAGTGCAAAAATGTTTAAATTTAAATTTAATATTCAAACCATAGTCAATCACAATTGATTTTGAAATAGCTATTCACCAAGCTGTATTGTTAATACGACCATCCGTAATAATAGTGGGTTGCCGATTTCATTTAATTCAGAGTTGGTATCGAAAAGTACAAAAATTAGGCTTAACCTTAGAGTATAAAAAAAATGATTGGTTAAAACACAGTTTTAGCTTAACATTTTTGGACTCTTCGGAACTATCGGATTGTTTTTCATTTGATTTTATGTCAGACATCCCTGATGACAGCAGATATGGTAGGTACGCCGATTATATCTTAGATAATTCGAATTTTCCGCCAAGTATGTGAGCTTCACATACAGCGAAATTAACAAGAACAACCAACAATTGTGAATCTTTCCATTCTCATTTCAACGAACAATTTTATAAGGTACACCCATCATTTTTTACATTTTTACAAATACTTAAAGATACAATACAGACGGATACTTATACCAAAATTAACAGTGCTAATAATAATACAAAAAAAAAATCCAAAAAAAAAAAAAATATTAAACCGTTTAAAAACTACTGAAGAAGCAATTACAAAAAAAAGTTCCAATGAAATTAATAGGTACACTTTCCGACAAGGTTAGGTTATCCGACAAAAGGTGTTCAGCTTGTTCAATAGAAATAGCATCATTTGGATTTAATAATTGTTTAACTTTTATACTTCTACAAGATATTCACAATAGTAGGACGCGGCATTTATCCATGTCCCTCATCGGGTTATTATGGGCTGAGGAAAAAAATTAATACCTGGAGCTTCTTCTTTAAACATTAAAATACGAGAAGAATCCTTTAAAAATATTTGTTTTACTTTGGCGATAAGTTTATCAACTTTTAGAAAATACTTCTATTGGTTTTAGTGACTCTATATATACAGTGAGCTAGGCAAGTTATGTACACTATTTTAAAATATAAAACTTTAATTGTAGAAGTTGCTTTGACCATATACAGGTTTGCGTCAAATAAAAAAAACAAAACTTCATCGTTACGTATTCCATTGGGCCATAATATAACCATGGACTTATCAAAAAGTTTAGTTATTATAGAATAGTTAGCTTTTTCAAGAATTTTCGTAGCGTGTAAAAATATCTTATCAGGTTGATCAAGTTTTAAGGTTCCGATCACAACGTTGTGTATGAAACGTCCAATCGTATCTGTTGATTCATCTAAAGATACCCATATTTTTTTACCAGTTACATAATTTCTGATCATTTTCATAGTATCATCGTAGCAATCATTTATATATGTTTTACGTAAAGTAGTAACTGTTGGAATTTTATTCCAGTGTAATTTTTCAAAAATGACCGGAAATATATGTTACTAATTTTATATAAAGGAATATTACTTGACATAAATGTTTTACCTAGATCAAACGAAAAATTTGACTTTTCTGTATTTGTGACTAATTGTTGTACATTTGAATTTGTATTGTTGATTTTCTTATTTACTGCCATAGAATATTTAACTATTTTTTGATGTTGTGACACAATATATCGTCTATCGGCACATATTTCCACTTCACACAGTTACAAAAGAGAATACTGCCATTAGAAGAAAATATAGTGTCAGCAAATCAGTTATCTGCTGTACGGTCGTATTGCATTTTTCGTCGGTCGCTTATCGCTATTTCTTTATTTATTACCTATATTTCAGTGTATATCGATATATCATTTGTTTTTACGTACTTTATATTTATTTTATTCTTTCTCCGTCTATTTAAGATGCCCGTATGCAATAAATGTTCCATTAATATTACTAAAGCATCCTTCATAAAATGCATTGATTTTGACTTAACATGGCACGCAAAATGCCAATAATTCACTAAAGAGGATATCAATTATCGACTACTTAAAAGAAGCCAATAACATATGGCGATGCAGCAAATGCGCCAGCGCCAAAATAGCCTCTCTTAGATTCGAAAATCCAATCAACGTAGAAAGTAACGAACTACTTGAGATCAAAGAAATGATTTTACAACTCAGGGATTCCTTTAAAAATCACAAAGATGATACAGCCAAAAATTTTGAAATTCTGAATACTAAATTTAACGTTATTGATAAAACTATCACAGAAAACCAAGCACTGAAGACACACATATCTCAATTGGAAAAACAGATTAAATCCATAGAACGTCGTCAAATCACCAACGACATAATCATTGATGGCGTCCGCGAAAATAAAAATGAAAACTGCGCAATACTTATTAAAAATATTGGTAAATAGCTAAACGTAAACATAAATTACTCGATAATTAATGATTGTCATAGAGTTGGTTCTAACCATAATAATACGCGCCCTAGAATAATCCTAGTTAACTTTAGTAACCACCAAGTTAAAATTGATTTTCTTAAATCTCGACAAATATTTAGGAATTTCTCTAGTAAATTTATTGAGATCCAACCGGATGTACCCATATTTATTAGAGAACACTTAATTACCAAGGGAAATAAATTATTCAAAGAAGCCAGAGACTTAAAAAAAGCAGCTAAACCTTCAATTTGTATGGACAAAAAACGCCATAATCTTCTTACACAAAAACGAAACAGATAAGATAATACGTGTCGACAGCGAGGATACAATTGAAAACATCAAAGGACAATATGAAGATTTAAACTTCCAAAACACAAATTCGTAAATACTAATCTTATATATGTATTACTATTTTATTGTATTACATATTTTTCTCCTCAAATTGTAACTCTTATACTCATAACATATCACACAATTTGCTTTATCTCACTCAATTACCTATCATTATTACCGTGTATCAAACCGTTTATAATCACTATTTTTATGTAAACAATTTATCAATTATTATTATTTAATATTAGCCTTAATGGATTTATCTGTTAACATCATATTCATATCGATCCCAGAATTACAAAGTACATTTAGCCAGCTTATACGAATATTACTTTCTTTCAAATCATTATTTGAACGATATCGCTATCTGCGTTTCCATAACACTAATTGGCTCTACAATCAGTTTTACGATATAAGTAATGAATTGTTTATTATACCCTACACCATATTATAATGAATGATAACACTGATTACGCATTTGCACATGAAAACGTAAATACCGTGAACTCGTTAATTGCTCTTTTGATAATCTAGATACCTTAGTATACAAACAAAACTCAATCAATATATTGACAACAAATATTTGTAGTATTAAAAAACACTTCGATGAACTATGCATTATTCTTGATACATTGAAACCAAATTTGAAGTGATCGCTTTAACTGAAGCATGGCTAAGTTTAGATAACATATCAATTAATAACTTCGTAATAAACGGTTATACAACATACTCCACCACAAACAATAAAAATAAAAATTATGGTGTTGTAGTCTACTTAAAGGACACATTAAGTGATATCGTTGTTACTGAAATCAATACACAAGCTTTAACAGCCCTAAAGATCTCTTTTAAGATGTCAAAAATTGACTTCTTAATTTACGCGATTTATAAATCACCCAATAGTAATACAGATGTAACTTTACTCGAATTTAATGATATAATACTTTTAAATTCCACTTAAAAAACAGCTAGTTACAAAATGTTATTAGGTGACTTAAATGTTAATTTGATCAAGCATTCTAAAATACGAGAAGAGTACCTACTGGCAATGGCACAGTTCGGGGTTGCATCGCTTATCAATACCATCACTAGACCGATTTCAAATACCTGTATAGATCATATTTTTATTAAAACAAAGTCTCATGCTAACATAATACCAATAATTGTACTCTCTAACATTACGGACCACTACCCGACAATTCTTAGTTTAAGCAATATATTAGATAAAAGAAATAATACGCCAAATTCACTTAAAATATTAAAAACTGATAATCAAAAACTATCAAACTCAATTGAAAACCACAATTGGTCAGAAATACTTGAATTCACTGGTGTAAATAAAGCCACTCAATATTTCACTAGTACTTTAAATAACCAAAAAAAACCAAGCCTCGGCGGAAATATCCATCTCCTCAAAAACCAAAAAATTGAAACCATGGGGGCCACTACCACGATTATTAACTCAATAAGACAAATAGACCGTCTCTATTTAAAAGTTAAGAAACACCCCATTAATTTAAAATTAAAAGATTACTACATAAAATTTAGAAATAAAATTACAAAAATAATAAAAAATGCAAAGATCCTTTACTATAAAGCAGAATTACTAAAATCTGGAAATAACACAAAACTTAAATGGCAGACTATTAACAATATCTTAGCAAAAAAAAAAGAAATCAAGTCACCTTAAAGAATTATTAAATAACTCTAAAAACAAAAATGACTATATTGATGAAAACCCTGAATATGTTTTGGCTGAAAAATTTAATAAGTAATTTACAAATGTAGTTACCGATTTAATTACGTCACTAAAAAACCGTAAAAATACCTACAATTACACTACAAACTTCGACAATAATTCGCAAAACAAGGATTGGTTTAATAATTTCGACCCAATCACTCATGCTAAAATTTTTGAAGCTATCTCTAAATTAAAAAACGGATCTTCATCCGAACTAGATAAGATATCCTCTGATTTACTAAAAAAACATAG